GCTTTAAGGAGGGATACATGAAATACATTATGCAACTTACAGTCACTGGGCAGCTGTAACTCATACGCAACTTCCCCTATTCGCCGCAACACAGGAAAAGGCCCAAAGAACCGAAGTGCAAGCTTATGGCATAGTTGACCTGCAACAGATTTTTGATGATAAGGATGTAAACGAAGCCAAACTAGTGAACCTGGCTCATATGTTACCTCACAGTGACCTTTGTCATAATATTCTTTCATCCTAACTTGAGCTTGTTGCAACTTGCTACGAATGTCAAGCAGAACTAAATCACGATCCATCAATGCATTGTCAATAGCCTCCACTCGTGAAGAACCAGCCATATAGGATAATAGACGAGGAGGATCTCGGCCATAAACAACCTTAAAGGGAGTTGTTTGCAATGCAGTATGAAAGGAAGTATTATAGCAATACTCTGTCCAAGGCAACCAATCAACCCACTTCTTCGGATAATTCCCAACCAAGCAACGTAACTACATTTCAATAGTACGATTCACAACTTCAGTTTGGCCATCAGTCTGAGGGTGATAAGCAGAAGAGAATGCCAACTTTGTTCCACATAGACGAAACAATTCTCTCCAAAATGTGCTTGTAAAAATCACATTCCTGTCACAAGTAATCGATTCGGGTATCCCATGCAAATGAACAATATTCTCAAAGAAAACATGGGCAACACGGGTTGCATTGTAAGGGTGAGACATGGGTATGAAGTGTGCGTATTTGGAAAAACGATCGGCGTCCACAGGTATGGGCTGTTTTGCCCCAAGCCTTTGGTAAGCCATCAATAAAGTCCATTGAGATATCAGCCCATACCTGCTCAGGAAGTGCAAGTGGCTGTAGTAAACCTGCAGGGCTCAGATGTTCAGCCTTGTTGCGTTGACAAACTGGACAAGCAACGACATAATTCCCAATAACCGACTTCATACCTTTCCAGTAGAAATCTTGTCGTATGCGCTGCAATGTTTTCTGTACCCCTTCATGGGCATTATCATGATATCCTGACAGAATAGTAGCAATCAATTGGGAAGAAGGCAGCAAGTAGATACGACCTTTATAAAATAGTAGCCCGTCTTTGATTGACCAGGAAGCATCAAGTTCTTGACGAAGCACTAGTTGGACTAATTCTTGCAAGGAAGCGTCAATGCGTATCTCTTCTCTAATCGCATCAAGCAGTTGTACACGTGGTTGGCTGATGGAATACAATAATTCCTCCTTACCAGGACGACGTGACAAGGCATCAGCAGCCTTATTCAAGTGGCCTGCCTTATACTCCACACAAAAATCAAACCCCATAAGCTTGCTGATCCAATGTTGTTGAGGTGAAGTGGTAAGTCGTTGTTCCAACAAATATTTAAGGCTATAGTGGTCTGTGCGAATCAAGAAAGACCTGCCCCATAGATAAGGGCGCCAATGTTGCACTGCTTTAGCCAAGCCAATTAATTATCGCTCATATGCAGCCAATTTAAAGTGTCGAGCTGCTAGTTGTCGACTGAAAAAAGCAATAGGATGTCCACTCTGTTGCAACACTGCTCCAATACCACCTCCCGAGGCATCACATTCAATTATAAATGGATCATTAAAATTTGGTAATTGTAAAACATGAGTAGTTGCAAGTACTTTTTTAAGAGTGTCAAAAGAAGCCAAAGCTGTGTCATCCCACTGGAACGAATTTCTTTTAAGCATGTTAGTTAAAGGGGTTGCTAACTGACTGTAATTTCTTATAAATTTACGGTAATAACCCGCTAAGCCCAAGAATCCGCGCAAGGTAGTGGTGGACTGTGGTTGAGGCCAATCAATGATAGACTGAACCTTGTTTGTGTCTGCTGCCACGCCTGTGTCAGACACCACATGGCCAAGATATGCTACTTGGGTCTCTCCAAAAGAACATTTGGATCTCTTGACATAAAGGTTATGAGCACGCAATAACTCAAAAACGATGCCAATATGAGTGAGATGATCATCCCATGTCTTGCTATATATTAAAATGTCATCAAAGAAAACCAACACAAACTGACGCAAGTGTGGTTTAAATACCCCATTCATTAGTGCTTGAAATGTTGATGTAGCGTTGGACAATCCAAACGGCATAACCAAAAATTCAAAGTGGCCATGATGCATGCGAAAAGCTGTCTTCTCAATGTCTAGGGGATCCATGCGGACCTAATGATAGCCTGACTTCAAATCTAGCTTCGTGAAGTATCTGGACCCGTACAGTTCGTCTAATAATTCATCCACCACTGGAATGGGAAATTTATCCTTCACTGTCTTGGCATTGAGCTCACGATAATCAACACAAAAATGCCAAGTTCCATCATGCTTACGAACCAATAAAACTGGAGATGAGAAGGGTGATCTACTAGGCCGAATGATTCCTTGTCTTAACATATCTGCACGCTGTTTTTCTATCTCATCTTTCTGCAAATGAGGGTACCGGTATGGTCGAACTACCACTGGTTTGGAACCAGGTAATAAGCAAATGCGATGATCACAATTTCGCATAGGAGGCAGCCCAATAGGCTCTTGAAATAAGTCAGCAAATTCAGCCAAGACCTGCTCCAGTTTGCTGTGGTGCTCATCTAAATCATGCAATAATTGAAGCTGCAATTTCAAACGGGTTTGCTGCCCTTGAAAGACGACTTGTTTCCCATTTGAATTAAAACTCATTTCAAGTGTAATGAAGTCCCAAAGAATGGGGCCCAATATTTGTAACCAAATCACCCCTAAAACAATGTCAAAGCCATCTAACGGAATAACAAAGAAGTCAGCTTCAAAGTTTTGGTTATTAATATAGAAGGATACTGATGGGCAAGTTCCTTTGCTGTAAACTTTTTCTCCATTAGCCACTGATACTTTGGCACTTGTCCCAGGCTGTACTTGCATCCCCAAGTGTTGTGTTGCTGTGTAACTAATGAAATTGTGTGTGCTGCCCAAGTCAACCAGGCTCAACAATGGTTGACCTTTCATGATTGCTAGTAACTGCATTGTTCTTGCGCTCTTTTGTCCCGTGATGGCATATAAGGAAATTTCAGGTTCTTGTGCATCTTTATGGCCAGGTTCTTCATCATCCAGATCAGCAAGTTCCAACCAAAATAGCTTCTTACATTGATGCCCAATCGAATACAATTCATCACAATTATAACACAATCCCTTTGCCCTTCTCTCTGCCATTTTAGCTCGTGACAACTTCTTTATGAAAGGAGCAGATGAACTTACCAACTTTGGTTCAGTAATACCACCTGGTGCATTGCTGCCCTTTGGAGTTGGAATTGTTGAACTTGTAGTAGTACTGAAATAGCCTTTAGTCCCTTGCCAAGTTTCCCTTAGAGAAGATGTTGCCCACACTAACTTCTGTTTCTTTTCAAAAGCTCGAGCTATATTCATGGCATGAACCAAATCTGGTGGACTACGCATTTCAACATCAAGCCGAACGGAATCGATCAGCCTGGCAATGAAAAGACTAACTTGCTGGTCAACACGAACACACTTACTGGCCCTAGCTAACCGTTCTTGAAATTGGCGCTGATATTCTTCAATTGAGCCTGTTTGCTTAAGGTTAACCAGATCACCTAGTGGATTACTGCCCAGTGGAGGCCCAAACCTAAGAGCACAATATTCTTTAAATTCAGACCAATCAACAAAGGGATACTCTTGTTCCACTTGATGATACCATAATTGTGCCTCACCTAAAAGATGGAATGCTGCCAATCCCACCTTATCTACTTCATTTGTTTTCTGATTGGAGAAGAATTTCTCACAACGGTGTAGCCAAATCAATGGGTCTTCAGATCCGTTAAAAGTAGGAAAATCCATCTTAGTGTACCTTGGTACTACACTATTTCCTGTCAGCTGATTAGGCCGATTCTCTGGTCTATAGGGTTGGTTACCTACATTGTTGCTTGCTCCAGCATCAGAATCCTTTCCTTGATTTTTGTTAAACCCAACAATGAACTCCTGCAATTGTAACGATAACTGTTGCAGCTGATTAACCATCCTTGATTCAGATTGTGCCACTACTTCTGTTATTCGTGCTTCGTTGGCAGCTTGCGCCTCTTGAAGGAGAGCTTGTAACTCTTCACGTTTGCTTGGATCGCCCATAGTGTTTGGCTCTGATACCAAGTTGTTATGGTCACGCAGAATGGATTTTGTCACAGGGCGATTCACTGGAAAGTCTGTGTTGAACAGATCCTTTCCCTTGTTTCTATTCCGTGAGCAACCTATTTTGATAACAACAAATAAGCTCGTTAAAGGGAGCCTATAACCTTAGAACTCGTTAGAGAGAGTCCTAGATCTCTTGTTTTTAATATAATCTTCCCCCTTTTCTTTATTCCTTCTGTCTCTTTAAATAGAGTCTTATTACAAAGCTATTAAGCATAACTAGGAGTCTACGGATATAAGAAATCTACTAAATTAAGAATTCTAGTAAAATTAAACTACTGACTATTTAAATACCCACAAATATCTGTCAGGTGCATCTTTATTCCTATCTACTTATCCTCTTTGACGTTGCTATTTTCCTCAACTCGAGGGCCCCGCCTTGCATAAACTTTACCTACGAATGAGTCTGTAACAATGATGAAGTGGTCGGCTTTGATGAGGAAGCGAACAAAGTGATCAAGCGACTTGTTGAAGGATCAACAGGTGTAGAAATTGTCCCAGTAGTGGGAATGACCGGGTTTGGAAAAACCACACTCGCAAGAAAAATCTACAATGATCCTAAGCTTTCATATGAAATTTTCGGCGTCCATTGGGTTTACGTCGGCCAATCTTACAAAATAAAGGATGTTTTTCTTAATATTCTCAAATTCTTCACAAGACGCACCAAAGATTATCTGCATGAGGATGAGAATGCATTAGCTAAGGTGATAGCCGGTTTTATCAAGAAAAGAGGTAGATGTCTCATTCGTTTAGATGATATATGGGCAATATAAGTCATTGATGCTGTTAAGAAAGTTTTCCCAGAAAACGTAAAGGGGCATCGAATCATGATTACCACGGTTGACAAACGTCTGGCTAGTTATGCAAATCCAGATCCGCACGATCTGAAATTCTTGACCCCAAAAGAAAGTTTTGAATTGTTGATAAAGAGAGCTTTTGGCACGAGAAGTTGTCCTAATGATTTAGTAGGACTTGGAGAAAGCATTGCACGAAAATGTGAGGGTGTACCACTTGCAGTAGTGGTAATTGCAGGAGCATTAAGAGGTCGTCCGAACAAAAATGATTGGATAAAAGTGGAGAATAATGTGATGCAACATCTTTTAAGGGATAATCACGAAAGCTGCTTGAAATTTGTGGAGATGAGTTATGATCGTTTGCCCCACGAAGTACAGACGTGCTTCTTGTATTGTGGTGTCTTTCCTCGAGGCTTTGATATCCCTTCATGGAAATTAATTCGCTTGTGGATAGCGGAAGGGTTAATAAAGCCCCAACAGAACTACACTCTCGAGGAGATAGCAGAGTTTTATTTGAACGATCTTGTCAACAGAAACTTAGTGATATCGATGCAAAAGAAGTCTGATGGTCAGATAAAGACTTGTCGTCTTCATGACATGTTGCATGAGTTCTGCAGAAAGGAGGCTAGTAACAAATGGCTTTTTCAAGAAGTCAGTCTAACACCTGATCAAGCTATTCCTATTGAAGACCCAAATAAATCCCGTCGATTGTGCATTCAACCCTCTAATCTGAAAGACTTTATCTCCAAAAAACCTTCTGCAGAACATGTTAGATCTTTCTATTGTTTTTCCTCAAAAGAAAAACAAATCAGTGGGTTGACTCCTAATGACATTAAACTCATTCACAAAGCGTTTCCGCTTGTCAGGGTCTTGGACGTTGAATCCATCAAATTTCTTTTCTCCAAGGATTTTAACCAGTTATTTCATTTGAGATATATTGCTATCTCAGGTGACTTCAATGTCATTCCTTTGACCTTTAGTAAATTTTGGAATTTACAAACTCTTATACTTAATACAAGTACATCAGAGCCCACCCTTGACATAAAAGCAGACATATGGAACATGTTACAGTTGAGGCATCTCCACACCAACATACCTGCAAAATTACCATCCCCTGCTGCCACGACGTCAGGTAAACCTTCTTGTCTACAAATTCTTTGTATGGTTGCACCAGAAAGTTGCAAGAAAGATGTGCTCGCCAAGGCGTGTAATCTCAGAAAATTGAGCATTCAAGGGAAAATGGCGGCTTTTCTTGAAACTAAGGGTGGAATCAACAATCTTGAAGAGCTAAAGTGCCTGGAACATCTGAAACTGTTGAACGATGCTGCTTACATGAAAACATCGCTTCACCTCCCTCCAGCATTCTTCAGATTTTTACGCACATTGAGGAAGTTAACTTTAGCAAATACAAGGTTTTCTTGGAGTGAAGCGAATAAATTGGGGCAGTTGGAATCCCTTGAGGTCCTAAAATTGAAAGAAGATGCATTTATAGGCGATTCTTGGCAGCCGGAAATCAGAGGTTTTAGCCAACTCCAGGTTCTATGGATTGAAAAGGCAACAAAATTAGAAACTTGGGAGGCTTCAAATCTTAACTTTCCTGTACTTAGGCACCTTGTTCTTATCTCCTGTGATAAGCTCAAGGCTGTGCCACTTGGGTTGGCTGATATACCTAACCTTCAAGAAATGAGGCTGGAGAATACAAGCAAAGCTGTGAAATCTGCAAAAGATGTACAGGAGAGCAAGATATCTAAAGGCATGAAATGCACCCTCACCATATTCCCTTCTGAAGTTGAATCCAAGGCCACACAGCGACAGATGTTGAAGGTAAGTGAAATTCATTCAGTTCTTTTTGTGTTTGTTAAACATGTGATAGACAATGATCACTACCATATCATTTTTTTATTAGTTTTTTCTAACTGATAGTGAATGATTTAATGGTTCATTTCCATACCACAAAGTAATTCCCTTACAAAAGAGACCTATCTGCAACACATTCTCATACTTTTCTTTCCTCTTTTCTGTAGCAGAGAAACAAGGTGACATTGCTGGGACAAACAGAATACTCTTTCATATGCAGTTACTTTTCATATTATTTTTCCCATTCATCTGATGAACTTGTTCCAATAAAGAAGACACATGTTTGTCTTATGTTTATTCAAGCACTGTTTTTTTTTAATTCAAGCACTGTAAACATTGAAATAAGTCTCTGTATGAAACATCCTTTTTAGTTACATTTCTATTCCAGATTCTTTGATGTCCGTCTTTTATGCTAAGTTGCTTCGGACACGGATGCCGATTTAGAGGTCGATCCTTCGAGATTTAGATTCTAAGATTTGAGGATATAGATCCTAGTAGTGAGGATCCGATTAAAAATAATATTTAAAACATAAATATATCTCTAAATTATGAAATTCTTTATGGAATACCTATGTATAACTTGTAAAATATGAATTTCTTTTTATTCTTAAGTTGTAGATAAATAAAGGATTAATTTTCTAGATAAGGTTTGTTATTTTCTTCAAAGTTACCCTAGTTTTATTTTTGATTTTGGGAATCAAAATGTATTTCGTCTCGAATTTTTTCATATGTCGTGGTCAAAGTACCCAAAATTGGTTGACCAAATTCGGTAGAAATCTCATATCCATACCCATACTAATATCGTACCGACACGAGTACAACACCTAAACTGTCATATCGGAGCAACATAGCTTTTATGAAGTATAATGCAAAAATTTGGTAATAATGTGAACATTTGAAGTTTATCTAATTTGAAGTAAGGGTATCACCGAGGCTTTTATGTCAAATCTCTTCAAAAAAATTTATTTTTACACGTAAAAATCTGAAAATGAAACATAAAAGTTTTTGTAGGATCATTTCCTCTATTCAAATTATAAAAAGATTATGTTGAACCATCTTATCCTTTTTATTTGTGTTAATATGTTAAACAGTCATGATTTGTAATATAATCTATGCTATTCATATTCTTAAATCAGCCATAATTGTCTTATCAGGCTCCACTCCTTTAATTGTTTCTGGCATTATTGTTTTTGAGCAGTTATAATTTTGACAAACGTAATCTTATTTTCAGGGTAAATAAAGTTACTTAAACATTGAAGATAAAACTAAATTTTCTGTTTAATCTCAATAATGTCCATCTTATTTTGTAAAAGAAAAGAAAATATGAAAGTACGTAACAAATCATGACTAACATTCTCTTGACACATAAGGATCGATACCCTCTACGGGAGGGGAAGTAATACCTAACTTACAATTTTATTACAAAATCAATTAATCATTTTCTAAAAATTGGAGAGAATAAATATCCTTGTGTCCGAAAATGTTGAGACACTCTGTTTCCTTAGAGTCAGGATAAAATGATAAATGATTTTGTCTAGCAGTTTAAAAATTGTTCTTATATACGCTATTTTGCTATGAGAAAAATTATAACTTACATATATTTATTTGTAGTGTTTGACTCGGTAAATTTTGATTTCAAAATAGAATTAGTTTAATGCGATTATACTCTGAAAATTGATCAGATTAATCTTTTATTTTAAAGGAAAGTTTTGAAAAACTAGAACGGAGAAAGCTTGTAATCCGGGCAAATTTTGATTTTCAAAGAGAGAGTTATATTAATACTATTCTGAATTTAAAGAATAGCAGAGCTAGGATTTAAAGTTTATGGATTCTGAATTTACAATCGAACCCATAGCTGGTTAGTTACTGGGTTCGCAATTAAGTATTTAATAGATTTTCTAGCACAAATACAGGCTCTAAGCAAAAGGTTACTGGGTTCGTCCGAACCCGTAGATAATACCCTCCCTCCGCCCCTGATTCTGAAAAGGGATTTTTATATATCTATACACTATTGGAAATTTTATTACTCTCCCTACTCAAGTTTCAATTTAATTACCTCCTATATACAAATTTATCAATTATATACTCTTTAGGAATTAAATGAGTATCCCTTTATATTAGGAATCAATTATTTCATATCCTTTTCTCTCTCCCTCATGCGCTCTCTCTCTATCTCTCAATCCCTAATTCCAGTAATGTAGAGCAAAGAAAAAGAGAGCAGCAATTCCACCATTGACAACCATTAAAAGGTTTTGAAGCTTTGAATTCGAATTTGGGTTTTCAAAAAATATTATTTGTTTGAATTGAGTGTTGTTGCAAACAATTGAAAATTCTCTTTACGTTTCTTTTTATCTCCAAGTCCCTAATTCCAGTAATGTAAAGTAAAGGAAAAGAGAACAATAATTCTACCATTGATAGCCATTAAAAAGCTTTGAAGTTTTGAATTCGAATTTGTATTTTCAAAAATCATTATTTGTTTGGATTGGGTCTTGTTGCAAACAATTGAGAATATTATTTGGAGTTTATATCTCAATTTTGAGGGTGTTTTGGTGAAGATTAAATTTGATTTTGGCTGAATTTCAGATTGAAACTCGAAGAAGAAGAAGAAGAAGAAGAAGAAGAAGAAGAAGAAGAAGAAGAAGAAGAAGAAGAAGAAGAAGAAGAAGAAGAA